GAGAGAGAGAGAGAGAGAGAGAGAGAGAGAGAGAGAGAGAGAGAGAGAGAGAGAGAGAGAGAGAGAGAGAGTGGAGTAGATACAGGCAAGTTGATCGATTTTGTGTGTGCGTCAGTGTGCCTGCATTTTCGTGTTTTGTATATGTGTGTGGGTGTGAGAGATAGATAGACGCACACACACACACACACACACACAGAGAGAGAGAGAGAGAGAGAGAGAGAGAGAGAGAGAGAGAGAGAGAGAGAGAGAGAGAGAGGAGGAGGGGGGTGGTGGTGGTAAATAATGGACTGCTCCGCGGTTTTGTCGAAGTGTCAGGGGGAGTGGCCGGGAATCAAAGGGAGGGGGAAGCCACGGACGATGGATGTGGAAGCTGGGGCTGAAGAGATGGGTCCTCTAGATTATGTGTCGAAGTCGGAAATTGTGCACAGTTATCAATCGCACGGTCCGATCACATATTCGGTGAAAAGGCCAGTTAGAAACCTCTTCAGTGTGAAGGGCACGGCCGTGAAGATGGTTGCTTTGTCGTTCGATTTTCTCGTTTTGAATGTGCTTCATATTATTCTGGTCATCGTTTTCCAAAAGTACGGTGTTAACGAGCGTGGTGCTGACGGTAAACCGAAGACGGATTGGTACAAGATTACGAACGAGATGTTTGCCGTGATGTCTCCGCTCCTCGTCTTCTTCCTGGTCTTCTACAATAATCAAGCGTATAATCGTTACATGGAGCAGTTCTTCATCGCCAGGAAACTCGAGGGTATAGTCAAATACATCACTAATCGACTTCGCGCTCATTTTCGCCATGATCCCTTCCCTGGGGCCGAGCAATCCATGCGCGAAATGCTCAGGACTGTTATCGTCGCCCATTACTGCCTTTACTTGCGTCTACCGCGATACACCAAGCGGCCGATCCACGACTGGGGATGGGACTACCTGTGCAAGTACGGACTTGTCAAGAAGGAAGAGCAAGCGGTGTTGGTCGGCAAAAGCGGACCTGATATCATGGGAGAGACTCTTGCGTTCTGCTTGGAGCGATTAGGTCAGCACGTGCGGTACGGACACATCGACACCCTCACTTTCAACGCTTTCGAGCAGGATTTGCACGTCATGGCCGGCTTCATTATGTCTATCACCGCTTACGCAAACAATCCGGTTCCATTCGCGTACTACCATTTAGCGAATCTTTTGACGCTGGGCCAGCTGGCCTTGCTGGCGTACGCTTTCGTGTTCTTAGACAGCTACCTGACGATTGTAGTGTTCGCATTGCTGACGATCGCGTTGTTAGGGTTAAGAGATATGAGTTGCGCGTTGTCGGATCCATTTGGAGTTGACGACACCGATTTTCAAACGATGTTGCCGACGGCAAGGTGCCACGTGGACAACGAGGGGCTGCTGAGCCGAGACAGCGTTTTTGGAAACGCAGCTCTGCCAGGCAATCCATCGCCGCCTTCTCCTCCTCCCTCCCTCTCTCGTTCTCCTGCTTCGCAGTCTCCTCCCCCCCCCAATGGTGGCGGCTCATTGTCTTCTTCTCCGCCTGTCACATCAAGAAGGAACCGTGTGCGCGCCGGACCTATCTCCCCTTCTCGTCAGTCTTCTCTTCCCGCGGGACAGCAGCAACACCGAAGTCCATCGCCATCGCCGAGGAAAGCCGGGAGCCCGCTCCACCATGGTGGTCTAATGAATGGACGCAACGGCGGCGGAGGAGGAGGTGGTGCCAAGGCTCCCGCAGCATCGAGTGCGGCAATGATCGAGCGCAGCTCAGACGGGAGCGCAGCTGCCGTCAGCGACGCTCGTCACACACCTGTGCGACGAGGAAGGTCGCCATCGCCAGCCGGGAAATGAGGGCGGGGGAAATGCTCTTCTACAAGTTCTTATCTTATACAAGTGCTTAACCAGCTTTGCCGCCGGGAGGGTGCTATGGCTATGGCTATGGCTATGGCAGATCTTTTCCCTTTTCGCCGGAAACGAGTACTAGAAAAATGGTCCAAAATTTTTATCGGCACGTAATTGGAAAGAAAGTTCCTCGAGAGTATATCTGAGGTCGAAAGTATTCTGCTGCAATTAGCCTACACGTGGCAAGGCATGCTCGCTGCTGCAGTCACGTGACAAGGCACGCTCGCTGCTGCAATCACGTGATAAGGCACGTTCGCTGCTGCAATCACGTGACAATGCACGCTCGCTGCTGCAATCACGTGACAAGGCACGTGCTGAGGATGATCGACGGACACTTTAAACAGTGTTTCCCGCGTTTTTATGCAGTCCGATGGGGTGATCTCTCATCGGCAATACCAGATCGCCTACTAGAAGATTGGGCGGGTTCTCTGAAGAACAATGTGCTTGTGTCGTCGTAAAGGATGACAGTAGCGGCGGCAGATTCTATGCATTGCTGAGGGTGCGTCTCTCAGTTTCCAACTGCTCGTTGTATGTGCCTTTGTATAGAAGATTTGCTGTGATTAATAATAACCAGTATGTGTCTGGCGCCAAAAAAAAAAAAAAGTAAAAAAAAAAAAGTATGTGTCTGGCGCCGGTGCGTTAGATGCTGCCTTGCGGTAGAGTCGATCTCTCTCTCTTCGTGTTTGCAGCATGACACTGGCGGCAATCTGATGTTTTCACTCAGATTGAGTCATCGTCGAAGGAATGCAACAGCGATCCCGTTGAGGCGTTGGGCCACCATCTCGAGGAAATCGACCATCATGATGCTCTGTCGATTCTAATCACGTTCCCATCGAGTCTTCTTCTTTTATATCTATACAGCGTGGCGTTGGCCCGCCACCCTCATGTTTTTCTATAAGAAGTTCTTTTTTATAGACTTAATCATCCTTCGACGTAATTCACGCTGTCCAGTTTAACTTATGATCCCGTAGAGTCTTTGCGCCCTGTTTGAGGAAATTCATGTTGTCGTTTATGCTTTCTCCACTCTATAGTGTGTTCCGTTTTGGGCCCCATCTTAACCTTATCCTTCAGATTTAACCATCGGAGTCCTCGACTTGCAACTGACGCGGTCGGCCGTCGATTCCTATCTAAGACTGCTCTCGCTTTTTTTAAATATATTTAATTTAATAAAACTATTCTCTGTGGAATCCATGTCCACAGCGATTCGGCAACAAGTAGGCAACTCCACGCTGTCGAGTCCCTCGTTCTCTCTTAGGTTGGGACAATTCCCATCACGTTATGTCTATTCGATCTGACGATCCTAATCACGTTCTTTAGTAGGTTGGATTGGACAACCTAATCATGTTCTACTTACTCTCATGTAGATTGGGATGATTTTCTAATCTCGTTCTCTGTTTAGATCGGGCAATCTACAATCCTGTCGTAGCGTTCTCCACATAACTCCCATCAACACATCACTCCCACGATCCGTCGATCGAGTGACAAGCGGATCGAGCAACCAATCAGGCAATGTGCTCGTGCGTGCGGCGCTGAGTTATTTTTTTGGCCGGTTTATTCTCTTTATACAGAAATAGGATCTTTGATCGGTGCAGTGAAGTGGATTCTCCTGAACCCAGAAAAGACAGGAGGTAGCGGTTAACATGAGGTATATATATACGCATACATTACATACTCTCTCTCTCTCTCTCTCTCTCTCTCTCTCTCTCTCTCTCTCTCTCTCTCTCTCTCTCTCTCTCTCTCTCTCGCTTTCTTTTTCAATTCCTTTTGTGTGCCGCTTTCCTTCTCGATCTCTTTCTTGCTGCGAGTTCGGCTTTTTCGTTGATCAGAAAAATCGTCAATGGATGGAGTGATTTTCATTCAATTCGCTTGCGCGCGCGCGCGCACGAGTCCGCGGTCCGCTAGGTGCTGCGCGCTTTGGTTGGGCAAAGTGTTTGGGTGAAGTGGGTCCAGCTTGGGGTCGGGGCAAAATTTGCTCGCAGATTGATTGCATTCGTGTCTGATGCATGTGTGTCGAGGTCGTTCATCCATAATCATACGCATCGAGAGCCAGATAGATACGGAACTAGAGACACACAATTGGATATTGGCTGTACAGACTCTTTATATAGGTAGATAAATCGGACGATTAGATAGATATAATAGATTGACAAGGTAGATAGACAGTTATGCAGTCAGATAGATAGATGAATAGATAGATAGATGGATAGACAGCTAGGCAGACAATAGATAGATGAATAGGTAGATAGATAGATAGATAAGTAGATAGATAGAGAAATAGATAGATAGAGAAATAGATAGATAGATAGATAGATAGATAGATAAATGCGAATAGACAGGCGGGAAGACGGATTCTTTTTAAGAGGGAGAGCTGATCATAGGTGCGGAGAGGAAGGGTTTCTGAATGTAGACGGATCCTTTTTAAAGAGGGAGAGCTGATTATAGCTGCGAAGAGAACTTAAAGGTTTAATGAATGTACCAGACAGGCAACAGACCATCTTGTAAGTATCTGTAGTTCAATTTATTGATACTGTTTCCTTAGATTTTTTATTTATTTTTTTTTTTTTTCTTTTTTTTTCTTGGGACTCTTATTATTGAAGTGGTACCAGAAGTTCGTTACAGTATCATGACCATGTTGGAGCTCCGCCTGTAAGATTGTGAAGTCATGCTTTTTTTTTTGTTTTTGCGCGGACTTGGCGCGAGCAGTGGAAACAACGGTCTTTGTTATTGACTTTTGTAGTCTCTTGCTGTTGTTCTGCCTGTTGAAAAATCTTCTCATGCATGCTTCACTGCTGCATGCTCTGTCAACAATGCTTCTTGCTACGACTTTCATGTCCTTCCCCCCCAGCATCTCTCTCTCTCTCTCTCTCTCTCTCTCTCTACTTCGTTTACTCTAGTGTCTTTCTATTGTCCTCTGTTTCCACCTCTTCAATACTTCCTCTCTTTCTCATTGTATGTGTCTGCCCTTATATGTGCCTCCTTCTCCTGTCTTTAATTCTGCCTGTTTCTTTCCTTCTCTCTCCCTTTCTTTATTTCTGCTCTGTGTTCTGTCGTGGCTATTAATTTCAACTCCATAAGAGAATCATCACTCTCTGTGTGTGTGTGTGTGTGTGTGTGGGACATGTCCGCTGTTTGAGTCCTCCCCCCCGTCTCTCTATATGCCTTTTGGTCTGCCTTTTGGTCTGCCTTTGTGTACTTCCTTGGTCTCTCTCTCTCTCTCTCTCTCTCTCCGTCGCTCTGTCACTTCAGTCAATGGATGATAATTAACAGTTGTTGTCGGTTCTTGGATTGACAAACAAACTAGTTGAGCAAAATGGCTGATGATGGCGCCGGCCAAAGAAGGTCACGTGCCTTTGTTTTTTTTTATCGGTGCGCAGGGAGGGATCCGCTTTGGCAGAAGGAAGGGATCCGCTTTGGCGGTCACTTGCCGTGGTGTTGGTTGATGTATGTAGCTTCATTCTGATTGCTTATCACAGGATTTGCTCCATCTCCTGCTCCAGCACGAGATATAATTTTATTATTATTTTTTTTTCCCGTCTCTGGAATGTAGTTGGTGCAAGAGATCTCTTCTTTTGTCCTGCGCTTTTTTCCCGTTCAACTTGGTCTTTTTCCCTTTCTTTTTTTTTTTGTCTCGGTCGTATGGATGAACAGTGAACACTAGTCCTGCTGCTTTTTTTTTTTTTTTTTTTTTAACTCACGTCCCACCCCCTCCTCGTCGATTTTTGCGTTTGCCACATTGCTCTATGCAAGGAACATGAATATGGACGAAGCACAGAAATCCAGATTGCAAAATCACACTGAAGTCCAAGTAGTCAAAGCCAGAGCAGATAGCACAATGGAACC